AATCATAAACTATTTTCAGTAATCATATTGTCATTGGTAGAGTAGGTATTGCTATTCTGACCCTGCTGTGCATATACCATGTGATAAAGCAGCTGAATAATTCTGGGATGTTCCAGTTCTATCATTGCTGTTGTCATTGTTGAGAACTGGGTTCTTGGCAAGGGAAAGAGGAGATACACATTTGAGATTGAAGAGCTTATATGAAAATTTCGTGGTCTTGAATTAGAATCAAAAGCATTACTACCACTAATTAATGGTATAGGTATATATCACTGAGCTTTTTCCACTGAAAAAGTATAGAAACTGACTAACTCAGTTAACAGTGATTCATCCTAGTGTCCAGATGATAGTATCCAAATACCATTTCCCACCGAGAGGAGCCTGGACATCTTTAACAAATTGTCGACTCCAGGTTTGAGGCAGCATATGTACAAAATGAGTCTGGAACATCTTGTAGCCGACTGTAAGGAAGTTACTAAAGTTCACTAGAGCCATGTCAAAAAATCTCCTCTTCAATAAAAAAATTAAAATGTGTAAAACTTCAATTGATTGAAACATTTCAAATATGTTAAAATTCATGAGTTTATAATGATACCTTAGAAAATAGGTAATTTTGGGCAGGCTAGAAAACCACATCGCTATTTAGAAATTGATATAGAAGGAGGAAAAATAATATATTTGTCTCCCGTTCTTATATGAAACGCTTCACTAAGTAACCAAAAGTGGATCATGAAAAAGTTTCTTCTTATTACAGTTAATACATGGGGAAGGTGTGATAGGACTAAAATAGCAATGCTTCTTCAGTGAATGAACTAATGAATATCAATATTGATCATTAATGACTGTGATAAGACAAGAACACAAGCTGTCAGATAATACATGCCTCCTGGTAGGAGAAGAAATACTGCCAAACTCTCTTGCCAAAGAAATTAACCTGAATTCAATCAAGTGTTTAACATACAGAATATACTGTGTATACTATATCTTATCTTAATACACAAAAATACAGAGGACACAAGAACATGTTAAATGGCACCACAGGGATGCAATCAGCAAAATCCAGACTGTTGGAAACTTTGTAAGACAAATGGTTATACAAGGAATAGATGGCAGGAAATACATTTCAAAGAAATAGTAATACAGATCTTATTTGGATCGTGACTCAAACAAATAAACTTTAAAAATCGTGAGACAACTGAAAGTTGAACACTGATTAGATATTTGAAAATATTAAGGAATTATTGTGGCATTGTCAAGAGAGACAATAATAGTGTGATTATATTAAAGAAAAAAAGCAACCTGATTTCCTACCAAGGCAGTCTGGTTTCAGCTGAGGAACAAAAGGATTTATGGCAAGTGAAAGGGAAAGACATTCTAAGGAAGCTCCCCTGCCACCGCCCCCACTTCCCCAAGTTTGCAGAATGATATCTATAGAATAACAATAGATGTCCTAGGAAAGAATGCAAAGCCTCATTCTCTTTCAAGATTCTAGGACTATTCATAAACTGTTCAACTATTTTATGTCATCAGCAGAGTTCCTCCAATGAATTACAGCCCTCTATCCGCTTTGGGACCATCCATTACAAGATACAACCAGCAGCCAAGATGCAGTTGGCTCATCTCACTAAGTGTTTTCATAAGCAGATTTATAATGAGAGGAAAATGCATTTTATTGATAGTAACCAGGGCTGCAGAGAACTCCCCCAAATTATTAGGGGTTGTTACAGGGGCAATTTGCAGAGCCTTATTACAATGAGACAGTAAAACAGCCCCCAGCCCTGCTAGCTTTTTAAAATCTACTAAACAATGTGAAACCACAGTTTCATTTTTTTCTTTCTGGCTGGAGATAGTGGAAATGTTCATCACCCAGTGTGAAGTAATATGTGAAACAGGTGTTTTATTCCCTAGCAGGTAAAATGGGTTTGATTCCTGTGAGATGTAGACATTTCAAGGCTACCAGCAAGAGGTCCAGATGGTGTGTATTTTCATATCTAATATTATATAAAAGATTTCAAATGTATCCTGACTCTTAACAAAACCATAAATTCACAGCTTATTGCCATGCTGAACAGCTCTGGTAGCTACTAATTAGTATTACTGTTTTTGCTTTCCTCTTCCAGGGATCACTAGCATATCTGAGCCTTTACATTTTTAGCTTCCAGCAAAAAGACAAAGAATTCCAGGGTAGGAGCCCATCTCACTTAAGGGCCAGCTGCAGGTACAACATTAGAACCTTAGGGGATATACAAATGTTTATGGAGCCATGGGTGGAAACATAAGTTAAGCTTTTAAGGAAAAACACTTTCAGTTGTTCCCTGTTTGGTCATGAAACTATTCCAGAAATATTGTTGAGCATCTTTTAATAATAATAACACCAATAGCAAGCATTATTGCAACTTTATTATAAAACAGGCATTTTTTCAGATTTTGCTACATACACTGTCTCATTCAATATTCTTAATCACCTTTGGAGATACCAGTAGCTCCATGTTACATATTAGGCAACTGAGGTTTAGAAAACTTCAGCAACTTACTCTAGAGCCAATTCAGGTATAACGGGTAGCAGAGTCCTCACTCTTAATAAGAATAGCGTATTCCTTTTTTTGTGTGCAGCATGGTAGCCCAGAAGGCACTGTGTTCACTGTGTGCAGAAGGAGCCCCTTGGAAAGAGTTCTGTGGGATTTATAGGTTATACCATTATAAAGAAAGGAAGTCAAATCAGCAATACAGTGGGCTAGAGTTGCTTCCATTCTAGAAAGCAACAGTCTAGGTCTCAATAAAGGGTAATGAGGTGGCTCATGCTTCCTAAAAACCCTGGGCAGAGTTTAACCTCCTGATTCCATTCTCCTGCCTCCTGCTCTCTCATGCTCATAAATGTATAAAACACAGGTCTGTCAAAGGAACATTTTGCCCCTTCCTAAGACTATTTAATATGCTATATTGAGTTAGGAGGAAGAGAAAATATAGGAGCTAATACTTTGGGGAAACTCCCTGATCTCACGTTGTTCATTTTATGAACAAGCTCCTCTTATTTTCTGTTGAGAAGAGTCAACAGGATTAATTTTTCATGCTAATACCCCAACATTTAAGTTTCCATTGGCACCAAGCTATGCAAAATCTCAAGCCTGCTTCAACCCTGAGAGCATGGAGTGTAAAAAGTAATGTTGGGAGAATCTAGGCTTCTCTTTCTTCCCTTCAGCTTAAAATTGCTTTTACGATTTTCAGTCCATTCCTTTACCTCAGTGGGGTCAGGTATTCTTATTTCCTGAAGTCTTCATGGTAAATAACGTCTGAGGACTCATATAACTTTAAAACTCAGTACCTTCATGCCAGTGCCCTGCTCATAGCTTACATGAGTGGGCTCATCACAATAAAATAAGTGTATTATTTTATTTTGGGGAGCATGATTGATTGGATAGAAACCCATTAAAGCAGAGATTTTGGATTCCATCTTAAAAAAACAAAAATGTGAGCAAAATTTCCCATGGTCTTACCTGCAAAGTGGACTCTAAATGAAAATAGAATTAGAGTTTAAGGAACCATATAGAAATATGACAACATATCAACATTTCTGGGTAAGTTTTGTAGAATAATGTTCATCGTTTTACTTTATACTATTTAATCCCTTGCAGTAATGGAGGCATTGGCATCCTAACTTTCTAGAAGAGCCAAGAGGGCATCACATAAAAAATCAGAGCCCTTAATTTCTAATCCTCATAGTGACTCTTGCAGACAACTATAGCTTGGCTTTCACCTATTTTTGTAGTCTGGTAATTTTCTTCACAAGTGAGAAAGATCTTGACCAACAAAGGTCTAAATAGATTTTTCTCTGTTATGCTCAACTGATTTCTGAAGGAATCCCCATTTGCCCTTTCTCTTCAGGCATGGTAGGCAGAAGTCAGCTGTGAAAGGAGGGATGAAAGCAAGTGAAGGATGCCCTTCACAAGGAACAAGCGATCTCCCTAAATCCAGTGCCGGAGTATGGCTTCAGTTTCTGCTCCCATTTCTCAATGATTATGAGTTTTGTGCCATATCTTCTCCCCTTTATTCCTGCAATATTTGCATTTCATGTTTTTATTCTCTTAATGCCTGAGCAATTTGAAGCTCTCATATTTAGACAATTCCCAGATCTCGTTCCTAAAGCATTGTGATTCCCTTTCAGCTTTTCAGAGGCACATGTGCTAGGAAAGGCACTGAGTCCTCCCTGTCAATCCAATTTGTGATAAGGATTTCCCCAGGTGCACCCATTCCACAGTCCCTGTGTTGTTCTGAGCCTAGTTGGCATCCTTTTGGGAAGCATTTGTATTGCTTTTTCATCTCAGAAAAGATACTCTAGTCACAAACCAGTCATCTGCCTGTTAAGCTGTATTTAGAACAAATCACTCCGAAGCAAAACAACGACGACAACAACAAAAGAGCCACACTTATTTCTTTCTAGAATTTTAACAAAATGTTTGATGTTGTGGAGATTTCCAAACAATTAATGTGAAATTGGGTACTGTTGTTCACATGATTTATTTACCATATATAGAGAACTCAGCTGGAGTGCTACTGTCAATGACGCTCCCAATTAAATTTCAGCAGAGAGTTGGAAAATCAGCAAACTGCTTGTTTCCTAAGAGGAATTATGTTTTCAAAGGATAAAAGTTAATAGGAGTCATAGTGTTCAAAGACCACATGATATAGGAGAACCTACCCCACTGCACCAAAGGATATATCTTGCTTCAAACACTTGATTTCATGTTAACATTTGGTCAGTTATTCAAAGCAGGGGAATCTTCTGCAGGTTGAGAAATATCCTAGTGTTTTTCATAGCCTTCCATATCATGGATCAGGAGCACACACTTGTGCACATGTGTGCATAGACACACACACACACAAAAGAAAGAGAGAATGCTTAATAGGAACACATTTTATAAAAGTGAGATCCCAGGCCCAGGAAATCCCAAACTCTCATAAATTTTACAAATCCAAAACGGAATATTCAAAAAGAACCCAACCTGTTTCTCTTGAGCAACTTTTCAGACTCTCAGTACAGTCCCCATGAGGTCAGCCAGATTTCTGTTCTACAGGATACTGCAAAAAGAGACCAGAAATTTAAAAAGGAGTGATGGTACTACACAAAATAGTAAAAGTGAAATAGAGAAGGTGTGAAGTTAGATCCTTGATTTATGTGTGGAAAGCTAGTGCCAAGAATATTGTTATGGGCCTGGCTCCTAGAGGCAAGATTTGTTAGCAAAAACTGTCTCTAAATATTTATACTCAGCTAAATAATTGCAAAATAATTCCAGATCCCAGCTGGATATCTAGGATCAGAACTAGCTGAAATTAGTAGATCTATGTGATAGTATATTGGTATTTTATCCAGCAAGTACTCTTGCTCAATGATACTTTCAACTTTCAGCATATAATTAACATACTTTTATAACAGCCTTTTCAAGGCACCACACAGAAAGGCTTTCTTTGGAAATATTTCCATAAAATAAACAAAGCACTTGAATCAGTCCATTCAATAGCATTTGTTTTAGGATTATTAAAGAAATACAGAGTTTCGGCTTCTGCAGAGTGTGCTAACATGGATTCTTCTTTCATTTGCTGATCCTTGTATGTGCAGTGGGATGCTGAAAGTGGGAGGGGGGGTGGCAGCGTATTTTCTACATCACCTTGGACTTTACCTTCCTGAGAATCAACATATGTTTCTAACTTTTTTATGGCCCTGATTAGTGCTTTAGTAAACCCAAGATTAAAAGCAGGACTCCAGTCTGCAGAGACTCTAGAAGAAAATATTTTCTATGAACCAAAAACAAAGAGGAAGCTTCATCATTTAATTTGACTGCTAGATAAACATGCACACATTTCTCACATTCTTCTCCTATCACAACAAAGGATTGTTATAGATTTTTGACCAAAAATTAAAACGTTATAAATTTAAAAGGGCTGGGTTGAAATGGAAGCCTATACTTACACTTTTCACCTTCTGTTTTGGACCCCATACAAATATTTCAAATATCATAAAGGAGATCAAGGGTTTATGTCATAAACAAGCTCTGTGATGTCACTTTTCTTCTTTGACCTTCCGTTTCCTCATCTATGAATGTGAGATTGGATGTCATGTCTGGTGAGCCTTCCTAGTTGGTTCTAGCCTTCATCATTCATCTGACATTTTTCAAACTGTGCTAAGAAACAAAGAGAATAATAGAGAGGAAGAAACTGATAGGATAAACTATTTCAGTTAGAGATTTGGAGAGATCTAAGAAAAGGTTTTATTCTTATGGTGTATAGAAGAGACTTTGTCTATCTATTGTTATTGTTCCCTGATTATAGCTTTCTGAGCTATAGGAGAACACTGTATTGATGCTACCAAAAGGCATTTCAAGGAGAAGATAAAGAAAGAAATTATTTAGCTAGAGCTAATAAATATGTATGGTTTCCTGTATTGTTTTGTTTTTTAAGAGAGACTAAAAAATTGAGAGGTTTTACTCTCCATACAGACAGAGATAGAGATGGAGCTTTGCAATCTAACGCAGATCTATTTTGTCCACTAATGCAGAAATAACATCATGTGCATTAAGAAAGCTCTGGATCTGTTTAAATCAATTAAAGTAAAGTTAATGTATTTTAATATCTGAGCTCTTCCCTTATCGATATAACTCTGCCATGTTTTCTTCTCAGAGCCCAAGGTGATGAAAAATGGACTCATTTACTCTATTACATCTTGTAACTGTGGCTTCAAGATTTTTTTTCTTTAGTTGTGAAGCCACAAGAAGATTTTATGTGACTCTAAAACTGCTGTTGGTTTTCATACCACAATACTCAAGGGCATTTCTCACCTTCAGGCTGCTATTGTTTCCAATCTGGAGATAAACGCACACTTGATAAAACTATTTTAATGATGCTAATATTAATACTTTGGTAGAATACTTTATCTGCTAGTAATAGCTTTAAAGAGTTTGTTGAGATTTTGTCATCTCATACATTTTAATAGAATATTAGGTTTGTAATTAACAAGAAAAATACAGTAGCTCCACTTCTCACTTCCTTCATATTCACGTAATGATTACCAGTGGAATGTTTGCTGTTCTGTACCCTTAGTAGACCAATCAATATTTTGGTGAATGGAGAGAAGTCTGAAGCACAGAATTATAGTGTAAACAAATGAGAAACATTAAAAGTATGCTAAATATTATAGCCAGTTGATTATGTAAATTTAAACAGCATAGGGGAAAGGAATTGCTTATTAAATTAGTCTGTTTTCAGTTCACTCTGGCATTGTTTATTATATGCCATAGCCAGATATTTCATAAATAGACTCCTTTTACAACCTGGAGGTTTTAGGAATACCAGCTGATTAATGAAATGGTGTATGTGCTTGGAGGCCATGGTGGAGAGCACTTGTCTTATGATCATTTCCATTGTACAGCTCAGGCCTTCTGTGGGGTACAGACAATGGAGAGAGAGAGAGAAAGAGAGAGAGAGAATAAGATGAGGACTCTGAGGAGCAGTTTATTCCAGTATGAGCACCTGTTACATCAATCTGTGAATTGGTTGATTTTTAGCTATGTCCTGTTAGTGATCTTTATAGAAGCAACAGACTAAGGTTTTCTATTGAAAAGTCAATGAATAAGTTCCACTCATGGTACATTTGATTAGCCAACTGTAAGAGTATCTACAAGTTTGTGACTCAAGGGTTTGGGACTATCTAAGGAAATCTAATCAGAGTGACAGAATGAACGTAGAAGTAGCTTGTAATGATGGATCAGAAACTCCTTTGCAATCTAGGAAGGAGAGACCTGATCTACGCTAATGGAACCTATTTGATAACAGATCGTGAAAAAAGAATAATTCTTTTTAAAAGTTGCCGTTTTTTTGTCTTGGAAGCCAAGAAGGGTGACTCCTGTTAGGCTATTGGCAAATTCCTTCTTCCAGACAGGTAAATCCTAATTTTGAAGACTTCTCAGTCTACCCAAATCCGATGCCCTTAAACCTGTTCATTTCACTTTTCTGATTTCCTAGTAACTCTGATTTTCATTTGGTATTCTTTTTTTTTTTTTAAATTCAGCTTCCATAGAGACCAAAAATTGCCGTGCTGACCATATTTCAAGTCGTCATGACAAGGTATTGGGAAAAGTTTTCAATTAGCAATAATTGCACCTCAGATAAACCTCATTGGCTGTGATACTGCCACTGTGCAAAGCTGAAAGCTTTCATTTGGTATTCTACTCTTTTGCTTCTTCTCTACTGAGAGGTCATACCAATCTGGTTCCTTCAGCTTTCAACCTCTCCTTTTCTTCCATCTATAAGACAGAAATTCATTTGCTTTTCCAAAGTCCCAGCTCTATGGTGTCCTTGACATACTTTGCTCTTTGTTAACATGGGCACTTTCTCCTGCATCTTCTCTCCCTTAGCATAACTCCTTGTCTGCCTAAAGCACAGCTCCATTTCCTTCATACCAGAAGAGGGCCTTCTCTTGTTCCAGCTTTGCTCTTGTATTAGTATTAATAGTATCTATTTCTCCTTACTTAACCAAACTCTATAGTATCTGTCTGTTTCCTCACTGCTTACTTATATAAAAAGCCCATACATTCTGATTTTGGTGACTACCTTTTCACAGAAACTATTACGTTGAAGATTATCAGTGGCATTTTCATGAGTCAATGCAGCAGCCTTCCCTCAGCTTGAATCTCCTTTCATTATTTTATATCATGTGAGTCTATGGACCCCTGTTATTCTAGAAATTCTCTCCTCCCTAGACATTAATAATAGTGTGCCTCTCCTATTCTTCCATCTCTGATTGCTGCTTTTGTATTTTCTTTGCTTGTCTTTTCAAATGTACTTTATATGTATATTGCTTATTATGTATTATCCAGAACCTTAATGGACTAAATATTTGATCATTGCAATTTTACAAATGAAGAGGCAGAGGCTGGGAGAATTTAAATAACTTGCTCAAAGGCACATACATCATAACTGATGAAGTGAAGATTTGATACCAGGTCTAACTCCAAACTTCTGTCTAGTACAGTCTTCAGCTAATGACCTCAGAGGACACTGAAATGGTTCCTTCCCAGCCCAAGATGATGAAAAATTACTTACTACATTGCATCTTATAACTGTGGCTTCAAGAATTTTTTAAAACAACTTAGTTGTGAAGCCACAAACAATATTACCGGAACTCTCTTATCTTCCAATCCAGCCACTTAATCTACAAACCTATCTGCATCTCCACCCACATTTTCTGCTTTTTTTTCTAGTATGATAGAAGACAAACCCTTTTTATTTATGCTCTGTATATCTACGGTGTTACTTTCTTAAGATCTTTCCCTCTTTTTCCTAGATCCATCATTGTTTCCCTACCTACTGCATCAGCTTCCTAAGCATGCAAGCGTGCTCTTCTTTCTCCCATTATAAAAGAAGTCCTCTCTAGAGACCCTGTTCCATTGCAGCTTCTGGACCTATTTCTGAAAAGTTTCTGTACTCAGCTTAATTTCAAAAGATTCTGTACTCAACTCTATTTCTTCCTTGCATTTACATTTCACATTGACCCCTTTTCTTTTCCTCAAATACATCTGGTTCATTCATGCCCCGAAGCCTTTGCACGTGCTGATCCTTTGCTTTGACAGCTTTTCACATAGTTGAATTCTTTAAGTTTTAGTTAAAATGTGTTCTCATTAGAGATGTCTATCCCAGTCCCCAAATGGTCTCTATCACATTTCCCTCTTTGTTTCTGTCAGAGTTTTTATCATGGTCTAAAAGTATCTTCTTTACTTAATTAATTTTTTTCTCTGTCTCCACTCTCTAGAATAATGCTGTTTGAGAGAACTTCCTGCAATGTTGGAAAAGTTCTGCCGTGCTGTCAAATATGATAACTACTAGCCACATATGGTTACTGACCACGTGAAATTTACTTAGTCAAAATGAGGAGCTGAATTTTTAGTTTTAAATAATTTAAAGGGTAAACAGTCACATGTGCTTAGTGTTCACCATAGTGAACAGAACAGTGCTCAAATGTATGCTCCATGAGGGATGAGATTTTTGTCTGAATTTTTCACTGTTGTATCCTGTATGCTCAGTAACATTTGTTCAATGAGTGAATGAATGGGTGATTTCTTGTTGAGATGAAATTCTGGGAGGAAAAAAAAAAGGGATTGTTGTTAATTGTAGCATACTTTGTAAGTAATACAAGTCTCCTTCCAGAAATGTGTTTAGACTATACATGGCTCTTCTGAGATCTTTAATTAGGATTCTAAGAGAGAGATCCAATATTGTAAATTAAATTTTTGACCATGTTGAAAACATGCTTGATTCTTTTGCTGTGTTTTGTTAACCAGTGGTACAATTATGTTATCTATGGAGTTATCATACGTAATTAATGAATTAATCAATTTACTCAATTCACAGGCAGAAAGATATTCTGTTTTCTAGTGTTGTCTACTAATTATGCAGTAAATCAAGGCTTTGAAGAGTTTCAACAATCATTCATTTTTTATGAATTAATCTTTCTTTGGCTTTCTTCTCTATGGGTGAACAAATAATGCAAACATAGACCCAAGGATACATGAAGTCTGAATGCTAAAAGCATGCAGAAGATATAGCTGAATATAAAAATATATGGGATAATTTCAAGTGGTGTAGTGATGTCACTAGGCACAGACAGGGTCAATCCGTGCCAACAGCAGGTGAGAGACCCTGTGGTACAAGGATGGCTAAGTGTTAAGGACTTGCCTTCTTATAAAAAGATAGAAAATTAAACATGCAATCAGCAAGAAAGATGAATAAGCAATGAATAGAATTAACCAACAGAATGCATGGTTAAAGCAATACTTTGCCCACGTTGATAGTAATACCTACTTAAGAATAACTGCCATTCTTATTACTCCTACTGCTGCTATTGCTGTGCTACCATTTTGAGAACCTACTAAGTTCCAAGAACTATAATGCTTCACCTTGATGAATGTTATTTTCTTCATTTTGTAAATCAATTCTATATGATTGATGTTAATTCCTTCATTTTGTAGATGATTAAACAAGCTTAGTTTAGACTCATTGCTTGTGAGTAGTGGAGCTGCATTCTGACCCCAATTAGACTCTAAAGCTCATGCCCTTGAAAAGAAAATGTTTGAAATCTGCTATTCTTAACAGCATTCAAGTATAGATGCATGGAAATTTCTAGGTATGTGAAATATAATCCAGTTTTGAATATGACATTTTAATAAAGCTGTTTCTCTTTTTCTGATCCAATTGTCTGTTAATAATCATGGTGTAGAGCAAATGGAAAGCAGTCATGTGAATAAATCAGGCAAGTTAGGTGTGATACAATATGGAGTGGTGGGGACTGTGGCAAAATCAAGAACATACGGCTATCTAAAGTTATTAAAATTCATATAAAAATGCCATTATGGGTTCAATTATGTCTCTGCAAAAGATATATGTTGAAGTCCTGACTCCTGTACCTCAGAAGGTGACCTTATTTGGAAATAGGTTTGCTGCAAACGTAAGTTTAAAATAGGTCATAGGTCATACTGGAACATGATAGGGCCCTAATCCAATATGGCAGGTATACTTATAGGAGAAGAGACAGAGGGAGAATGCCATATGAAGACAGAGGATTGGAACCATGCATCTACAATCCAGGAAATGCCAAATATTGCCAACAAACAACCAGAAGCTAGGAAAAGGCAAGGAAAGATTCCTTACAAGTTTCAGGAGGAGCGTGGCCCTACTAACCCCCTGATTGTGAACTTCTGGACTCCAGCACTGTCAGAGAATAAACTTATTTTATTTTATGCCAGCCAATTTGTGGTACTTCATTATGGGAGCCTTAACTGAAAAGATTCATTGTCTAGATGAACATATCAAATATAGTCGATGTGAACCAATTTAAATCCCTGACACAGTGATCTACAGGACAAATACAGTCATGAATAAATAAAAGCAAATCAAGCCATAGTTCTGAATTTCTCTGCTTTTATATAGCAACTTATAGAGCATGTATGTTCTAGATACTGTCCAAGGGCTTTATTTAATTTGTTAAATAAAGTTATATTAACTCATACGTTCCTCATTATAATCCTATTTATTGGAAATTATTACTACCATCTCCATTTATACAGGGAGAAATTTACACATACAGAGATCAAGTGACGCCCGTAGTTACAGTTAGTAAGTGGCAAAGCCAGGCTCACCTCAAGTAGTCTGGTGCTGGAGTTTATGCTTTTGATCACTATGCCATGCCAAGGTAACTGAAGGTGCACCTCATTTATCATCAATGCTCTAACTCCACCTTTAATTGCAGTGATTTATATGTGAATGGTAGACTTCCCATATGCTGTGTTTTGAATATTTGTTTCTTCCCAAATTCATACATAGAAACTTAATCACCAATGGGTTGGAATTAGGAGGTGGGGACCTTTGGAAAGTGATTAGCTCTGGTGGGCAGAGCCTTCATGGGATTCGAGCCCTAGGAGCCGTCCTGCTCCTTCCAGCCTATGAGAACACAGCAAGAAGGTGCCATCTTTGAACCAGAAAGCAGGCCTTCCCCAGACAGCAAACCTGCTGGTGTTTTAATCTTGAATTTCCTGCCTTCAGAACTGTGAGAAATAAATTTCTGTTTTTATAAGCTACCCAGTTTATGGTATCTGACATAGCAGCTCAAATGGACTAAGACACCATATTCTTACGAAGACTTTTACATAGGCTGTGATCACCATACTCCCTTCAGTGATGCTCACTGGCTTTTGATTTACATCTTTGAGATGGAAATAGAGCAGCCATCAGTTTGACTAGTCTTTTTCTGTAATAGTCCCAACTTACCGAATAATCTAAAGAAGGAACTCTGATGGTTTATAGAAACATCCATTCCAACTACATACTGGAAATCTTGGAAAATAACTCTTGCAAATATTGAAGATCATATTAGATATACCATGAGGTAGAATTAAGTAAAACGCTCTCTAGATGTTACCTTTTTTAAGTACACAGTTACCTTGATACATGTTTAAGGGTCTCCAGGGACCTGTGTTTATTGCACACAGACAGCATGAAATAAGCAACAATAGTATATCTGTGGACTTTCTCTTCCCAGAATCCCACTATACTTTCATAGTTGGGACTCTGGGAGTTCATGTCTGGGACCTGGTGAAGGGCTGTGGGTCTCGAGGATGATGACTCAAGTTGGACTTCTGTTTACCAGACCCAGAATGTTCTGTTGGTTTGTTCATTAAATAAATTAAAAGAAGACCTAAGCGTGGTTGCTTATTAATTTTAATCCTTTTGAGTTCACATTTAATTAAGAACACACAGTAGTATCTGCAGGTCAGAATAAACCTCTAATATTTCAGTTACCCCACCGGCCTTGATGCCTATTATGGTTGACATCTGTTCCCTCTGCCACTATGAGACTATGCCCACTAGAGTCAGGGAACTTCCTATTGCAGTACTTTCCATGAGTGTTGCCATCTGAGAGAGAAATGGGCCAACACAGTTGTTTCTACAACCCTTTGCTCAAGGGCTTCCTGAACAAGAGAATCTTCCAGGTTCTCTAGATGAGCATAGGTATGGGGTGAATGGGTAAAAAGTACCTGACAGAAACAGCCAGCAGTATGGCCTCCCACTCAATTATTCTCCTACATTTGTGGTTCTTGAACATGCATCAGAATCACCTGGAGGTTTTGTTATAAACACAGTTTGTTGTGCCCCAACTGCAGAGTTTCAGATTCTGCAGGTCTCAGTGGAGCCCAGAAGTCTTTATTTCTTTTTTTTTTAATTGCATTTTAGGTTTTGGGGTACATGTTCAGAACATGAAAGATAGTTGCATAGATACACACATGGCAGTGTGATTTGCTGTCTTCCTTCCCTTCACCCACATCTGGCATTTCTCCCCATGCTATCCCTCCCCAGCTCCCCCACCTCCACTGTTCCTCCCCTATTCCCCCCAATAGACCCCGGTGTGTAGTGCTCCCCTCCTTGTGTCCATGTGTTCTCATTGTTCATCACCCACCTATGAGTGAGAATATGTGGTATTTCATTTTCTGTTCTTGTGTCAGTTTGCTGAGAATGATCTTCTCCAGATTCATCCATATCCCTACAAAGGACACGAACTCATCATTTTTTACGGCAGCATAATATTCCATGGTGTATAAGTGCCACATTTTTCCAGTCCAGAAGTCTTTATTTCTAAGACAGTCCCAAATGAGGCTGATGCTGCTGGTCCAGGAACCACACAGTTTGAGAACCGCTGTTCAACATTATGCCATAGAATTTCTGGCCTGTCAATTTAATTTACTGTGGAAAACATTTAATCCATGTTTGCATTAACTGACCTAGAAAGCTTTAGAACCACAGCCAGCTGTCTGAACTAACACATTGAGGGCAGACATTTTCAAGACACATTCATGTCAAAGAATTCAGAACAATTTCTGCCTTTTTATCAACTACCTTGAAAGTCCATCTCCACAACCCACATATATTTATAATATACATTAGCAAACTTCTGTAACTCTTTTCTTTGCTCTGACTCCAAATTATTTACCCCATTCTATGTTGAGATCAGATTCTGGCCTAGAATAATAATTGGGGTTTTGGGGGTGCTTTCATTAGATCCCCCATCCTACAAAGAAGTTTCTGCTTCATCATGCAATGAAGAGAATATCTCATGAGGTAAAAAAGTTACTGGGTTCAGGGTATGACAACCGCCCTGAACTCTCCAGACGTCCCCATTCCTGTTGTCTTGGGTTAGATTACTACCTAACCTTCACATAACAGGCTTTTGCGGCTGTGAATTCAACCATCATTACAATTCAGCAACTTGTGAATCTTACTCTGGGCTTTGATTTTTGACAATTTTAACTTCTGTCTCTATGAGGCATGAGATTTCTTTCAGCATGGTCAGGACAGTCTCTGAATTTCATTTGGGGCCTTGAGAAAAGAATTTCTCTATTCCAGTTTGCCATCCTCTCCCCCTTAAATATGGCCAATGCCAACTTCTCTCCAATTTCTTCATGTTGTTCTATGGGACTAAAACATGTACTGGAGACTTTTGTTTCCAATGGGCATATGAAGCTGAGTACCCAGAAGCAATAACTTAGTTGTTTTTTCGTTGTGCCTTTTGCCTGATTACCAATTCCAGATACTGCATATTATCCTGATGGTGTTAGCTACACCCCTACTCCACCTTCCAGTGTTTATATCAGGGTTCTTTGGTTGCAAACAAAAGGTGCTAAGAAAAAAAAAGTGCATGATCTTACAAAATGGATATCAGAGAGCCCTTAGAATTGGAAGAAGAGCTAAACTTCAAGTTTTGGAAAGCCAAACAGTACTGAATGGGTGAGTAACAAAACTTAACAGGCAGTCTTTTTAGGGGTACATGGTCAGAATAAATTATCTTCAACTATCTTCAGTGTTTGAGGAATTATACTCAACATTCACATTCCAGGGAGAAGGATACTAATGTCTCTTCAACCATGTGCTCACCCTTTTGCCAGGAGAGGTCAGATCTTTGATAAACAGTTTTATCAATGTTGTATTCAATTGGGGATGAGACATTTTCCAAAGCAAAATTAGGAAGCTATTTCCAGAAGAAAGAATAAAAGATACTGGACAAGTAAAGGCATACTGTGTCCATTCCAATCACAAAATCCAATTTAATGTTATATTAAATACCACCCCAGTAGATGCGAATGGGGTTTGTAAGTTACAAATGGAATTCCCCATTCACATATGCAAGGGAGGGACTTTATTTTACTAAAATTTCTGGCTTTTGGAGAGCCTATTTTCTGGACTGTCTTTGTTCTTATTTCAGCTACTGTGAGTACAAAATTATATGCACCTTCTCGATAAATCACAGTATCTTTCTAAGGCTAGCAAAATGTAAAAAGACACAAGTGAGTTTTAATATTTAGGAGGGTAATAGTGTAAATCTCCCTTTAAATGTAAACCATATGGGTTTACGCAGTTGAAAATAAGTCTGAAAGACATTAATAGCCATGACTAAATAAAAACAGACATCAAGCCAAGTACACAAACAGCCAGAAAACGAATAGGATGATAGAGACGTTCAATAAATACAATCAAAAAGGCTCAATCAAATGTAGAATGCAGCACATCAAAGGTAAAACCTTTACCTATCATTAATTATGACACTAATTTCTATCTCATAACATTTCACATAGCAACTGTAACCAAGAACATCTGCATTTTAAACTGAAGGTGCCTCATATGCTACAGGGAAGCAGGATACATGCACATCTTCTAGGAGCTAAGGAAATGGTTATACAACATCCAGGCTTTCATGCAAACCACCACTTGCCTTATTTGATGTTGGAAAAATAACATTTTCTGTATTACACAGTGGTGCACAATTCAAAGTAGAATTTGAATAAGGAAGGGAAGGTAATACAAGGTTCCTAAGTTTCTTTCATTACATATTCCATGTTTTATATTTCAATGACTGCCATTAAAATTAATAGCCTCTTTTCATAAGTACCATTCAACCAAAAGATAAACAATCACAAATATCCTTCATCTAGAAATAAATGAATAAAAGCAGTTGTACAAGGCCAAGAAATCTTCGTAAGTAGGATTTTATTTACAATTAAATCTCTTCTGATTTCTCTCATATCAGTTCAAATTTCTGATTCCCAGGCTTCCATTGTATCTATTCACATAAATCTGCAGAATCTTCACATCTGTTTTCGAAGTCTTTACCTTATATCTTGCCTGTGGTCCCCATATTCAATGACTGAGGCCTTGTTCTTGATCTCATTAGAGCAATTATGGAGTTAATCAT